TTTCCCCCCCATCCCCCCCTGCCTCTCCATCTGCCCCATCCCCCACCCCTGCCTCACCTGCTGCCCCTGCCCAGGCCTGCGGCTCTGGCAGTGCCACTTCAGATGCCGCCGCCGCCGGTGCAAGGGGACCCACCCCGGTGGCTGCAGAGGGGCCCCCAAGTGCTACTGCATCAATTCTCTGTAAGCCTTTAGGGAGGCTTGTGTTTACTGGGCAGGGAGTGGGCTGCACAAGGATGAAGAACAGCAGTCCCATGTGGGGAGACACTCTTCCAGCTTAAGCCATGCTGGGGTAGGGGTGGGGGGCAGTTTATGATGGTTTCCAGGATTTCAGGAGGGAGTAGAGAAAGAGGTGGCTGTTTCATTTCTCTCTGTTCAATGATATACTCAGCTTGGCCTCTGCCTTTAAAGAGGTCTCCTTGCTGGAGCTGTGGGAGTGATTGCAAGAGGGGCCCTTGGGGCCTATCCTGGAGACCCAAATTCACAGGCTCAATAAATCTGAGACGGGCCTGAGAGGTAGATTCTGACCTACTCCTTCCCACAGCTGGCTTTGGGGGCATCCTTGGCCTAGGCAGCCTGGGCCTGGGTTCTGCCAACTTCATGGAGCTCCAGCAACAGATGCAGAGACAGCTCATGTCCAACCCCGAGATGCTGTCACAGATCATGGACAACCCCTTGGTCCAGGATATGATGTCAAACCCTGACCTGATGCGACACATGATCATGGCTAACCCTCAGATGCAACAGTTGATGGAGAGGAACCCTGAGATCAGCCACATGCTCAACAACCCTGAGCTCATGAGGCAGGTGCGTGTGAGCCAAGGCAGGAGGAGGGAGGAATGTGCTGTCAGCCACTCCTAACTTATTATTTGTTCATTCAATTGAGCGGCTAAATATTGAATGCTTGATACAGTATGGAACAGATATAGGCCAGGAAATTGGGACAGACATGTAGGCAACACCCTACGACTAGTAATAAGGAAGCCTTCTGACCCTGCTCTTATGGGGCTTATAGAAGGTCTTCTGGAATTGTCACTGAGCTAAGACCTAAAGAAAGGCAGTGGATGATCCAAGGAAAGAAAAATAATGTTCAAGACCAAGTAAAGCAAAAGCCATAGGCTAGACACACCCAGCCGAGGAGGACACCCATGGAGATCATTTTCTTTTCTTTTTTTGTTTTTTCACGACAGGGTTTCTTCATGTATTTCACTGGCTTTCCTGGAACTCACTCTGTAGACCAGGCTAGCCTTGACAAAGATCCATCTTTCTTTGCCTCCCAAGTGCTGGGGACTAAAGTTGTGCGCCACCACCACCCAGCTCTTTTTTCTTTTTTTTAAATATTTATTTATTTTTGACACATGGTCTCTCTATGTAGCCCTGGCTGTCCTGGAATTCTTTGTATACCAGACTGCCCTCAAACTCATAAAGATCTTCCTGCCTCTGCCTCCTGAATGCTGGGAAAAGGTGTGTGCCACTATGCCAGGCTGCGGACCATTTTCTGAAGGCTGTTTCCTAGCAGACAGGATAGGTGGTCTTGTCACCAGGCTTATTGAGACCAAAGTCTGATTTACTGGCAGGTAACTCCCCTAACAACTAAGGCTTTTAAATTGTTTTCCAATTTGTTAGTTGATTATTTTGAGACAGGATCTCACTACATAGACCAGGCTGGCCTCGAACTCACAAGAGATCTGTCTACCTCTGCCTCCTGAGTGCTAGAATCAAAGGTATATACCAACCACTACATGGCCGTGTTTTTGGGTTTTTTTTTGTTTTTGTTTTGTTTTGTTTTGTTTGTGTAAGAACTTTTTGAGTGTTTGGGTATTTTTTTTCCAGCCTAAAACTGTATCTGTTTCATAGTGGTGACTCAGTAAATACTTATTGTATGGTAAATTGTAGATCAAGAGATCAGAGTCCTGTTAGGCTAGGATTGTGGGTCTAGGAAGGCATCATAGAGCACTGGAGGGGATTTGGGGAGAAGAAGGCACGTCAAGGAACAGGAATAAGTAGCTTGCTGTCTTCATTGTGACATCTCCGAGGGTTGAGTCATACTGACAGCAGCTCTAAAGAAGAGAACCCTCAGCCGTGCATTGGTGGCACACGCCTTTAATCCCAGCACTCGGGAGGCAGAGGCAGGCAGATCTCTGTGAGTTCGAGGCCAGCCTGGTCTCCAGAGCGACTGCCAGGATAGGCTCCAAAGCTGCACAGAGAAACCCTGTCTCGAAAAACCAAAAGAAAAAGAAAAAAGAAGAAGAAGAGAACCCTCATCCTCAGTGTTGCAGAGGGCTCAGTTTGGCTGAAGAGAGGGAAGTGGGGCTAAGGGGTGTCCAGTCTGAATCCTTTCCCTATCCAGTTTGATTTACCAGGATTCACAGTGTGGTTTTGGTGAGTCCTGGCCTAGAAGCCTGTCGGCATGATTAACTTCTCTGTGTTAGGGGACAATAGGTCTGCGATCCTCCCTGACCACATTTTCATATCTACAAAAGATGGACAGGAGTACTTACCTGGGATGGCTATTGTGAAAATGGTGTGACTTCAATTCTAGGTTATGTAGTTAGCTGCTTACTATTTACTCTTTTGGGGAAGGGGGACAGCCACCCAGCTCCCAAATAAATACACACAGAGGCTTGTTCTTACTTATGAATGCCCTGCCCTGCCTTGGCTTGTTTCTAGCTAGCTTTTCTAACTTAAATTATCTTATCTACCTTTTGCCGCTGGGATTTTTCCTTTTCTTACTTCTGTATATATTACTTTCACTCTTACTCTGTGGATGGTTGGCCCCTGGCATGTTGTCTTGTTCTTCTTGCTTCTCCATCCTCTCAGATTTCTCCCCCCATTTATTCCCTCTGTCTGCCAGCCCCGCCTATCCTTTCCCATGAAGCTATTGGCTGTTCAGCTCTTTATTAGACCAATCAGGTGTTTAGACAGGCAAAGTAACACAGCTTCACAGAGTTAAACTAATGCAACATAAAAGAACACAGCACATCTTAAAATAATATTCTACAACAGGTTATTTAGTTGCTGTTAGTGTCAAGCCTTGGGGATATTGTGATGAAGCCAGCAAGCCATTTATTCCTGTTCCTTGGACTGCTTTCTTCCCCCCAAATCCTCTCCAGTCCTCTCAGACACCTTTCTGAAGGTCTTCCAGTTCACCTTTCTGAACTGAAAAATTAGCCTCACAGGACTCCAATCTCTTATCCTATAATTTATCATCCAATAAGTATTTATTGAGTCACCACTATGGAACAGGTACAATTGTAGGCAGGAAAAAAATCCTCGGGCCCCTTCACCCACCTATTTTCTTACACTCTCTGACACCTCTGTGGATCCTCTAAGCCAAGAGAAAGAAACTGCTGCCTAACTCCATATGTGAACACCATC